TTATTGATAAACAGATAGCAATGAGACAGTTTCAAATCAAATCGGAAGTACAGTTTCAACAAATAATACACTGCATATATTCTTCTTAGTGGTTATAATTATCTTTATATTTTGTCAACTTATAAGGACCTGATTAATATCTTATTTTACTGTCCATGATTTTAAGTAATATAAGTACAATTTGGTAGATTTTTTGTTAAATCTTATGAGAAAACAGTGACATCAACAAGCATTTTATTTTGTACTTGCATGTTTAACTGAGAACAAAACATATTACCTTGTTTTTAATTGAAGATTTAGAAATTCACAGAATATTTGTAGTAATAGGGAAATGTTTTGTCTTTTCATTATAAACATTTGTAAATATTGACTGAAATTATGACATTTATCTGTGCTTATGTTAAGTAGAAATGGGGAGTTATACAAAGATTGGACATGATACCTATTTATTTTTAAAATGTAGTCTATTATTTTTTATCAGTTAAAATATACATGGACAATGTTATATTTGAGAAATGTAATCTGAAAGATCACACCTGTATTTACTATCAGCATGAAATATCTGAGTTATATCAGAAATCAACCAGGTGAACTTATATACTCATCATGAAATACATATCATTTAGTCAGATTAAACCATTGTCCCATTTAGTGTTTTGGGCTGTGGTCCCTGGGTGAAGCAAGAGACGCCGGGGCTCTGAGTTTTATGCTTTAACAAGGCCTGGCTCTACCTAGGCCCAAAGCTATTGGGCACTGTGCAGCCAGTGTTTTTAGACCTTTTTTTTTTTTTTTTTTTAACCAGAATTTTGTCTGGTCTTAGAAACCTGTTTTAACCAGTGAAATATTTTTTAGGTCCTATACATGAACATCAATAGAATTAATAGGGGGCCGGGGAGATGGCCCAGTGGAATAAGCGCTTCCCTGGCAAGCGCAAGGGTCTGACTTCAATCCCTGGTTCCACCCCCCCCCCCCAAAAAAAAAGAAAGAAAAAAATCAATAGAATTAATAGAATTTCGATTAGTGAGCAACCTGAACATATATTGTAGTATTTAGGCAGGATAAAAATCTCTCCAGGATGAGAGCTGGGCTTTTAGGCATAACTGAAAGGAATGGGTGAAGAGAAAGTTATCCCGGTTACAGCTGAAGCAAGATATCTTTTAAAGTCTGTTTCTATTGAGGTACGATGACCGGAAGGAAGGTCAGGGTTGGAGAAGGACAAAGAGACTTGTGCCAATGTTGCAGTCTCTCCCCACACACACACACTTGGTCGTGATTACCTGGGGCTCTTCTGTGAAATGACAGTCCGCCAGCAGCTAGCACAGCGCAGCAGCGAGAAGGCAGAGAATGCCCCAGGGCCCCTCAGTCCTGCTCCACCAACTGGAAGTGTGGGTCTGAACTCTGGGGCCTTCCCTCCAGCGGTCACCTCTGCAGTTAGGGCATAGTCCACCCTTAAGGTGGACTGGATTTTGACAATGCTAGCCGATGAATGTTGTGGCTGAGTTTTTTTCTTGGAGCCCCAAGAATCAGACTTAGAGTCTGTTTTTCTTAGTGCTGCAGCAAAGGCAGCTATTGTTTCTCCATCTCTTTGTTTCCTCTCCCTGGTTTTCTCCCAGTCCTGATTATAGAATACCAAGGAGACAGTTTTTACTAAAGTATCAAGTGAACTATCTGGAGCAAAAGCTACCTTTTGTAGCTCTTTTCTATTATCTGGAGCTGACTGAGAATGAATTTATCTTTAAGAATAATCTTTCCCTCTACTGAATTAGGATCTAAGGAAGTAGGTTTTACCAGTGCCTCTATTAAATGTTCTAAGAAAGCACAGGGTTTTTTATCCTTCTCCTGATAAACAGCTGAAAATTTAAAATGACAAGAAGACTTGGTTTTTGTTCTTCTTAGACCTTCGAGAATACACACTAGAAAGTGTTTTTTTATTCCAATCCCCTGCCTGCCTGTTAGGCCAGCAGGGGTCTTCTGTAGGAACTGCTTAGGCTCCATGGGAAACCGGATGTTCTCCTGGTTGTCTATCTTCTGGTTGTTCAAAATTAACAATATGATATTCATCCCCAAATGTAATAGCAGCTTGTAACCCTGCTTGTTTCTCATTAAAGGTCAATGTTTGATTTAAGATTAACATTATATCCTTCCATTCTAACTTAAAGGTCTGAGTAAGACTTCTGAAGACATCAAGGTACTTATCAGGGTCATCTGAAAACTTTCCTAATTCTAGCTTGACCTGTGTAAGTCATTGAAAGAAAGAGGCATATAAGAAAAATAGAATAGAAGGGTCTCTTTGCCAGTAGAGTTGGGGCTTAGGACGGGCAGAGTATAGCTCCACTGCTACTAGGAGGGGACTGAAGGGCCTGCCTCTGGGAACTGCATACGCCTGGTGAGGCAGCGGCTCTCGCCCCACTGTACCCACTCAAGAACTTCCTGCTCCTCTCCATCCTCTGGTAGGCTTGTCCATCGCGATCAAGAGCACACTCTGGCAATGGCAGCAAGAGCAGCTACTCCACCTTGGGGTGTGGTAACTTTGTGGGGCGGTTTTGACCAGACTCCCACCAGATACCTCAATCCATTAGACTTATTACAACAGATGAGCTCAGCGATGGGGCATGTGGCTACTGGGAAGGTGAAGAAATTGTCACTGCTGCCAGGCATTGTGGGCTTCAGGGTAAAGGGAACCTAGTCCCTGCCAGATGGGCTTCCCAGGGCTTTGTGTTTGTTGGATAATAAAGGGGGGAGTCTGGGAGCTCCACCAGCAGCACCGGGTTGGAGGAGTTGAGGGGCTTCTAGGTAGCATGTGCATTGAGGCGGTGGTGGTCACCTGCCCTTGAGATTTGGAGGCATGAGCCCTGTTCTAGCATATAGCCACTTATTAGTGAGGCTGCGGCCCTGCTGTGTAGCAGAAGCTGTTTGTACCCACATAGTAGCAGAACTGGTCTCTAACCCTGCAGCCCTCCCACCCAGCCTGAGACAGCACGAAGAAATGAAAGAGCAGCCCAGCCCTCATCTTCAGATATCAGACCCGGATGGGGAACCATAACTCCAGCCCCCAGGAAACTGGCAGGTCAGAAGCACTATGAAGAACTAGAACGAGGAGCCCAAGAAGAAGATTAATACAGAACAGGGGGTGGTGAGTCAAAGCATCCCTCTCCAGGATCACTTGTCTTCTGGAGCTTCTTCAAAAGTTCGCATGAATGGGTGTCAGAACTGTCACTTGCGGCCTGTGGAGGCTCCTGGTCTTGTGGGGATTTTCAGTCTCCTCCCCAGGGTTTTAGTTGAGTGTGAAGCAACCAGAGTTGTGTCACCTGGGCTGGTGCATCCCAAGAGGACTTAAAGTTAGGTGAAGATTCAGACAGGACTTCCAACAGCACCAGGCGCGTCAGGCGCATGGCTTTAAAAGGCAGGGCTCTATGCCGGGAATTGAGGCAGAGAGCACAGTGAACCAGAACAGTCCTCTAGGGGTTCATGGGAACTCACCGGTGAGGAGAGGGCTTCCGTGCATCTCGTGGGGGTTTTGTCCTGGCTTTTGGGGAGCGTCTTTCAGCCTCAGGAGGGTGATGGGCAAGAGAGAGGCTGTGTGTGAGCTTGTGGAGGTGGGCTTTTTTTCATCTTTTTGAGACAGTGTCTTACCATGCAGCTCAAGCTGGCCTTAAGCTCACTTTGTAATCCAGGCTGGTCTCAAACTCACAATGATCTTCCTGCCTCTGCCTTCAATTGCTCGGATTACAGGCACGTGCCACCACACCTGGCCAGAGGTGGATTTTTAAGGTGCCATTTGTCCTATCCACCTGGCTCTCCATGCACAATGAAGATGGTACCAGATGTCCAGTGCTACAGGGACCCCCTGAGTAACAGAAGCCCTGAAGGACAGCCGTTGTTACCCTGGATGCTGAGGGACAGCCCACACCTGGAACAGTCCTGTGGACCAGGGCTCAGCCACCTCGGTCACTTTGTCTGTCCTCAGGAAAAGCCCAGTGTGCCCTGTATAGATGCCCACCACACCGAGAGGAGCTGCGCTCTCTGCGCTTTGGGCTGAGTCTGTCTGCCAGTCTTTCCCTGGGCAAGGGCCAATTCTCTGTGCACCCTGGGGAGCCTGTCCATGAGACAGGAGTGTTTGGGGAAACCACACACACACACACTTTTTCTTTTTATTTGAGACAGGTTCTCACTGTGTAGTTCTGGCTGGCCTCAAACTTACATTGATCCTCCTGTTTCGGCCTCCTGACTGCTGGGATTACAGGCGCGGTGACTCACCTGGCTCAGGATTTTTTGTATGGACCAATCTCGTACCCCTCAATCACCACGCTTTGCACCAAGAAATAATCTGTCACTGCCTGGCGTAGTGACACATGCCTAAAATCTCAGTACTCAAGAGGCTAAGGCAGGAGGATCACTTCAAACTCGAGGCCAGCTTGGGCTACAAAGTGAGTTCAAGGCCAGCCTAAACTGCATAGACCCTGTCTCATAAAGACAACAAACAAACACCACCAGCTGCATGGATCACGTTTCCTTTCCCCAGGAGAAAGGCCTGGCGGAGTCCTTCTTATCTTCCATTGGCTGGCAGACTGGAGGGCGATCCTTCCCTCCTGTATTTGGTACAGGCCTGAGGGCTAGAGAGTTAGGCCCTGTCTCAGTCCGAGAAACTCAGCGAGGGTGCACTCGGATTTGAAATACCCTGCTCCCAGGGCCCAGAGGAGTGCGTTTAGCCCAGCCTCAGGCCAGGGGCAGCGCCTCCCACGGTTCCGAGGCTCGCGTCGCCTCCTCCCCCTGGTGGCCCCTGCGTGTATTACAGCCACTTCCCCTGGCCCGGGTGCAGCCGTAAGGGCTGTACAGTGTCCTGATGGCATTTGGCGGGAGACCTGCAGCCAAGCGGCAAGCATGGAGGTCGGCACAGATGCCCCGCTGGGTCTAGGGTTCGGCGCCACCAGCCGGGCACCGGTTCCTGGGGAAAGTGGTCGGCCAAGCGCCTGCCCTTGGGGCACCACCACGTAGCCTCTTTCCAGTGCCATTTTCCGCATAGGAGCGCCCATCCATCGAGTAGACGCTTAGGTCCGGCGTGCTCGATGCGGCGTCCCTCAGGTCCTGTCCCACAGCACAAGTGTCCAGCACCGCTCATGTACAGCTGTGCGCTGTAACCGACCCGGTCTCCTCAGGAAGGAGGGGAGCTGTGGGGACGTGGGGCAGCTTTTGATCTGAATCTCAGGCCCAAGAGGCTGCACGGTGAAAGGCCTGCCCAGTGTTAGCTCAGTGGCCTCAGGGGTCAAGAAGGCCAGGGCTAGGGGCTGAGGAGATGGCTCAGCGGAATAAGTGCTTCCCTAGCAAGCCCAAAGGCCTGAGTTCAATCCCCGGTTATACAAAAAAAAAAAAAAAAAAAAAAAAAAAGGCCAGGGTGCTGATGGTCTGCAGAGAAGCAGGTCACCCTTTTGCCCCATCTCTAGTTTTTACTAAGGTCCCCCACTTGCCACTGGGTGGGTCCCCGAGCCTGGGCCAGCACCTCCAATGCCCACTCCCCTTCCATTACATATAAATTGAGAGGTTCTGCCTGGCAGGCTGAGTGCTGAGTCCTATAAACAGGACCTCTTTAGAGGTTTTTTGTTTTGTTTTGTTTTTGTTTTTGTTTTTTTGTCTTTTTGAAACAGGGTCTCATTATGTAGTTCAGGCTGTCCTTGAGCTCACCTGATAGCCCAGCTGGTCTCAAACTTCAAAAGGATCCTCCTGGGGCCGGGGAGATGGCTCAGTAAAATAAGCGCTTCCCTGGCAAGCGCAAGGGCCTGAGTTCAATCCCTGATTCTGCAAAAAAAAAAAAAGGGATCCTCCTGCCTCAGTCTCCCAAGTGCTGGGATGACAGGCATGTGCCACCACAGCCCAGCCCTCCATCAGGGTCTTTTTCCTTTCTGGGCCCCAGTGCAATAGCTGTAGGCAATCTCGTTGAGCCTCGTTTAGTATCCAACGCAGGAGCCTACTTCTCTACACCCAGGAATCCCTGATCTGTACAACCATCTGATCCCTGGAAATCCTTTGAGTTGTTTTAGGGTCTGGGGAGCAGAGATCTAGGTTATGGGTTCCATTCATTCTTTCCAAGGGCTTGTGTCCCATTTGAAATAATCAATCCTAAGTACTGTACAGAAGTCTGCCACCGTTGAGCCTTATTTATTGGTTTGTTACAGGGTATCGCTACATGGTTCAGACTCATAGTGATCCTCTTGTCTCAGCCTCCCCAGTGCTGAGATTACAGGCATGCGCCACCACACCTGGTTCCAGGGCCAACACAGAATGCTGTACGGGGGATTGGACTCTTGTGCTTGCCGGGCAGGCTTAGACTGCTGAGCTATCTCCCCAACCCAAGCCTTGTTTAGATAGTGTATATTAGGCTGGGTGAGGT